GGGCTCAGTCTAATATTACATAGATTAGGGTGCTGCCAGGTAAAAGATTGTTGTCTAATCTGACTGATCTAGATATTTTCATTCCCACACACAGCTCAGTAATGTCTAGTAAAGGTTAGTCTGCCGTGCATGCATAAAAACATCAGGAGGTTATTTTTTTTTAAATGTCTGGAACATTGTAGGGTGTCAAAGAGCTTCCACAAAAGAAAGCACCTCATCTTCTTCTTTATTCTGTTTTCACTAGTCCTCTGATCTCTCTCTCCTTTTTCACAGGAGGTGAGCGCATTTGGCGAAAACGGAGAAGGAGACCACCTCGATGAGTGGACGGTTCAGTGTGGGGGATCCGTATGGAAGCGGGAGGAGGCCGTCCGCTTCCGTCACAGGGCCACTGATGCCCTGCTGTCTGTGACGGGGGAGCAGTATGGACGACCGATCCACGGCCAGACAGAAGTTCATGCTATGTCAAGCCCCAGCCAGCACAGTCTGTGGAAAGCCATGGAGGGTATCTTCATGAAGCCCAGTGAGAGCCCAGGAGGCAGTCGAGACTACAGTCACCCACACACAGAGTTCTAAACTTCACTTTTCTTTCTCTGCTTCTGTCTTTTTCTATTTTCCTCTCTACCTATTTCTGTGTCTAATTATATCTGTTCCAGCAGTCCCTTTCCTTCACCAGAACATACTTTGGAAACAATACAAGAAACTCATAGATCCAGCAGCTACACTCAGACTTAATCTGTGAATGGCACTATAATTTGACTTAAAAGGTACAAGAAGACATTGAGTATTGAACATACTGTTTTATTGTATGCCAACACTAATGTTTTTTTTTCTTTTGCATTTTGTAACAAGTATGTCAAACAAGAAGTTGTCCTGTTAGCTTTAATTTATTGTTAAACTATAACACAGAAGACACTGCAGGTTTTCCACATAAAAAAAAAAAAATAAAAGTTGTCCTGTGTTTAGTTGATCTAAAAAGACATTGTTACAGTTGTGCCTTTATGCTAAAAAACATTGTAATTGTTTACATAGTGGAGTCTTTATTGTATTTTATGGTATCTTATACCATGTTTTACACAAGTGACAGCGAAGCAGTATTAATACAGAAAATGATTCCCCCCCCCCCTTAAGTCAGTGTTGCATATGATTTACCCCACACTGATAACGCATAAGAAAAATAAACAGTTTTTTCTGTGGATATTTGTTAATGTTAAAGGGGACCTATACTCCATATTTTTCAGAATTTAAAGTTCAATATAATCTTTATCTTTATTTATTCTGTCCTCTTCCTTGGTGCAGACCCTCACTTGTCAGACAGTATCTCCCTTACCCCTCCCTTCAAGCCAGCTTTCTTCTGATTGGCTACCTCTTACAAACAGTAGGTCTGCACAACAAGTGGGCAGGGATCTGTGCTTATTGTCTGGACTGTATGTCTGTATAAACATGTAAAGGAAAGAAATCTGTTAAATAGACTGCAATTTTGACCACATTTAATATGAGCAGAACCCACCATCATATGTAAATGACAGAAAGTTTGGAGAAAATAGGTCCCCTTTAATGCACTGAATGCTGTTTATTGTCTTTGTTTGCTCAGAAGTGTAGAGGGAAAGTAGAGTGTTTGACATTCATGCTGCCTGTGCATTTATATATGCTCCAGAGGTTCAAAAGAAAAATGAATCTGCAGTGAATACCTCATATTAAAGAGTTTTTTTTAATGCAAATCATTGTCAGTGTGACTTCTTTGTTCCATTTCTTACATTATACCTTAAAGCAAACTGGAATTAACTTATGAAGTCCAACCCGTTAATTTCACCCACAATGATAACACAGTGAAGGATTTGCAGCTAAGCCGGGCTGTTAATATCTATCTGGACCATTACACTAAGCATAATGCCTTGTCTGTCCACCTAATGGCATCTTTGGTTCATTATCTGGCGGTTAATGGGGTTCGGGTGCATCTGCTATGAGGCTGTTCTCACTAGAGTTTGACCTATGCTCCCTAATTATCATGACTTAGTGTTAGCGTTGATGCCAGCATTGCTCCACTGGAATCCTCCGTCTGACACGAGCTGACAAACGTGTTAGTTCCCCTCTAGACATTACAGACTGCATCACGCCAAATCGAGTTTTAAGAAGCAGTTTGTCTGTAACACCCACTAAGATTAATTGCCTCAGAGCATTTGTATGAACGTGATGTCATACTGGGCTTTCAGCACTCTGGGATGTTGCTGTATGTGCCGTGTGGGGAATGAGAGGAGCTCAGGGCCAACCATGCTGTCATTCTATTTTTAAGCCTGATATTTAGAAATGACACTGCAACAATGATAGCAAGTGACAAAGCAACAACCTGAGCTTTAAATTATAAACACTAGGTGAAAGCACTGCTGCTTACAAACTTACTTTGAGCCAAAAATTATATGTACAAAAAAAAGTACACTCACTTTCAGTTCTAAGGTTTTATGTGTCTGAACATAATAAAAATACACACAAACATCTTGAACATTTAACGTGCTAGCTGAAGCCTGTGAAGGCTAAAATAGAGCTCCTCTGTTTTATTTCTGAGTGCATGGTGTGACCTTGGAGGGAATTTGCTGGGGCACCCACTTCTTGGAAAATTGGCAGTTGTCTTGAATGTTTTCCAATTGTTTTCCACTTCAGTAATCTTTCTCACTTTCGTATGATGGACTTCAAATTGTTTGGAATTGCCCTTATAGGTAACCCTTCCCAGATTGATAGGCAGAAACAATTGCTTCTCCAAGATCATTGCCAACACCTTTCCTTCTTGGCATTGTGTTCACAAACACAGGAATCTTCCTGACTGGCCCCAAACTTCTGCTTTTACAGAAGTTCTCACACTTGAACTGATGTTAAGTTCATAAAGTGCAATCGATTTTTTATTACGACATGTGACGTCCTTTCTTTTTCACATGACTGTAGTCTAAGCAGCTAATTTATGAACATTTGACCGTTCTGTGCTGCTTTAATTCTTGTAAGTTGTTTCAAACTCTCTTGCACATCTTTCAAAATAAACCACAGTTACTATAGTTTTTCTATCAAAACAAAATTTTATTGCATAAACATATATGGATATAACTTTTCTTTTAATTTTTTAGATTAAACAGATTAAACTCATTATTTGCATTTTTAAATATCCATTCAGTTGGTAACTATTGCTGTTTTCTTTCTCCTTTTCTAAGCAGCATGCCAAGGTTGTTTTACATATCTGTGTTAGGATTTGTCTTTACACAATCTACAACTGGTAAAAACATGTTTTGGTAAAAACAAATCTTAAAAGCAACTTTCAAAAACATGAAAATCATGAATTGATCCTGTCCTGATACAGATGTACAGTATAACAATGTAAACATCAAAAGTGTCGATAAAAGGTCTTGTTTCCCTTACATAGCCATGCAAGGATGTCTGAATGGCACAATTATCGGAGAATTGTCAAGATAAAGCGCTCTATGCTGGTTTCAAAAGGGTTGTGATGCTAATCGACAAAGGCGAAGAGATGGCCCATTGGTCAAATGTCAATATCAAAGACGAACCGACTTACAGGAATAAGTGTAGCATACATTATACAGCAGTTTATACAAGGACAATGAGGCAGTGAGAACATTCCAGTAAAACCTAATGTGAAGAAAACACACTATATATTGAATTCAATATAAAGTTTAACCATCCACAGTGAGGCCTACAGACTCTATCCTAGGTGACGTGAAACAGAGATGTTGGTGACGTGACCTTGTATTTGCATATTTATGAAAATGCCCTCTTCCGCACTCTGATTTGATTAATAGCTGGTAGAAACTAGAAAAATGGCTATTACTGTATAAATTGGAAAGTCAAATACAGTATGTGACAGTAGTACATACATACCTACATTTAGACCAAGGCTGTGCCACCACAAAGAAAGATTATTGGATTCCCTGTCTTTCAAAGACATGAAAACCTAAACAAGAACATGCATACTGATTTACAGTATTATACATTTTTGCTGTGATTTTACAAAGCTTTCTTAAATTTTTTATTTATTTTTAAAGAGAGCCCTCTCCCCTCTTACCTTCTTTATATTTTGTCTAAGCTGGACGTGTGGTTGCACATTAGTTTGACTGAAACATCCAGTTTTGTTTCTCTCCGCCCTGCCAAAGTGCTAGAAAACAAGTGAAATTGCTCCAAGTTCTAAGTGGGAACAAACAAGTCTACAATAATATCCCAGGGGAGCACAGTGCAGTCCGCTTACACTGCTGTTATGGCGTGTTGCAATCGGGAATAATAAACACTAGCATATGTAAAGCTACATCTACATAGGGCTGGGCTATTTGGTTAAGATAACTGTAAACAATATTTGCTGTAATTTTCACTAATTCCTTAAATTTGTTTATGAAAACGTAACATTTTGCTCAGTCCCCACAATACTGTTCCAATCTCAGCACATAAATAATGATGTTTATTTATTGCCCAGCCCAAAACCAACACCACCGAGTACAGCTTCATCCTCAGATTTAATATATTGTGTCACTGAGATGTTCAACCTTGGCTGTCTCCATTACGCAAGAAGAGGAGCATGATTCTAATCTCTTACAAGGTCTTTCTTGGACTTTTCATCCCAGTAAGCCTTGTAAAAAAAAAAAACTCTATTAAATCTGAACCATAGAACACAGCATTGACCCCAGAAACTACAACAGGTATCACCTTCAGAGTTCATCCAACCTCAATCAACTATTGCAACAATCCAGTTTGGCATGTGGAAAGAAATGTTCGTTAAAAAAAGTGACCAATACAGACCAAAGTACCCTTGTGACACTGACACAAAAAACATATCAAAGCTCAGATTTATTGGCGGTGTTCTTCCCCCCTGTAGACATAGTAAACATGGCTGTTCAGGCGTTTACCCGCAGTACTTATTTTCACCACTAGACGGCAACCTTGTCCAAGAAAACAACTGTATTAGACAGCATGTCACAACTCTATCCCTGATATAGCTCACTAGTTTCTATCTTTCATACATTCTGCTGTTGAGAGGAATAATACATTACATAAGCTAAGTAGTATTATATATACAGTGAAATCCATGGGGAACAAGTAGGGGTAATGTTTGGTATGGCAGTGTATATTGTGACATGCTTTTGCATGGTTTATGTTTACCACAGCTGGGCAGTATTACAGTGACATGCTGAGATGAAACATTTTCTGCCAGTACATTCCTAAACACATTTTTCAGTCCTCACTCCATTTGATTAGATTTTTTGTAAACCTTTCCAAGCTTACTCGTGGACACCACTGTTTTTCACATCTCACACAAATCTTCCTTGACCAATCAATCAATCAATCAATCAATCAATCAATCAATCAATCAATCAATCAATCAATCAATCAATCAATACTACTAGTGGGATAGCAATGACTGTTGAGTGGGTTGTCACTGAGTACTGAGTTGTGCTTCTTGTAGATTCACATTGAACGTATGTGACCCAAGACTGGTGGACTAATGTAAATATTTCACAAAGTCTTTTGTATACATAACAATATATATATA